AAACTCGCCCTAATTCGGCGTTTGCTTGTCCCGTCGTGCTGCCACTTCCAATGGCGAGCAGCGCGTTGCGATATTATTGCCGCTTTCTGTTTCACACACACACACTGCTTGAGCTGAGACAAGTGCTCTCGCAAAGTCGGAGTTACCGGATGCTGGAAGCATGCTGCGGATGTTTAATTCATGCGAACGAGATCTATCACAAGACAGCCGGACGGCAATAGTAGGTCAAGCCGTTCAAAAAATACAAAGCAGGGCGTGAATATGACCATCGCTCATCTGTTCCCAGGTGTTCCGAGCGGGTAGAATAACAAAAGTAAAATACTTTTACTACAAACCGCGACCTTGTTCTGTTCGCGCACATTGTGTTCGCGCCGTCAAAGGGTGGAATCGTAATTCACGTACGTGCGTTAGTAACCTAGCCATACTTCTGAGTAAAACGAGTGATCGCCGATCAACTCACAACATAGCCTCCTGTTTCAACTTTTTTTTTGTGACCCCAGAATGATTATTTTGAACACAGTTGCGAGTGACTACAAACACGTTTTCTTGGGTGACTTTGGGTGGTCGATCGTTTGCGCAATGAGCGCCAACGATCGACAAAAGCTCAGATCATTTGGCTGTGAAAGCTTGCTCATAGATTTTACCAGCACGAAAGCCAATGTATATCTTTTTCCGCAATCATTCCCGCTCGCTTTCTTATCGCGCCGATAGATCAATCACATATTAAAAATACCCATAACAAATATGTATGTTTAATATGGCAAACTACACCACAAAACGTTGGCTTTCAGGAGACCTTTTTCGAAAGTCGTGTGCCGATTCGTAGAAGGTCTTAGCATGCTGGACAATGGCGGAATAGTAAAATCTTAATCTTTTAGCGAGGGATAATTGAAGTTAATTCACAAATCTAGAGAACCATTGGCTTAGATTTTATTTGAAATGCCCGTGATATACCGGTATTACTAAAACGTCCTACTCTCGTGAAACCGCCCGACTGCCCCTCAGCTACCCTTGTACCAGGTCGAAGTGCACTCGGGCAAATCTTTTGATGTCAGATGGTCCTGGGGATATGCTTCAATTTCGCGAGAGCTATCGGTTTGCCTTTAACATTAGTTTTATCCATCTATTTATCTCTGAGATTCATCAATTGAAAGTGCGCATGTTAGTATTTTTTTCCTGTCGTCCTAATATGTTTCAAACTAATAATTAATTAAACGGGTAGCCCGTCTAACTACTTAAGCTCACGCTATATTTTTTGTGTACTTTCTCTTTTTTTCTTTTTTTTTTTTTAGCTAAGCAAGTGTGGATAGGAAAGTAGTATTTCTCCGCGCACAGAAAATGCAGAAGCCTACTGCTCTGAAGGAAAATTTGTTTGAGCGTTTGTTATTCGTCGCGCGCGCCAAGGGACCCAAATACACCATTGGCCGCTGTTTACAGATCCGAAGAACTCTCTTCTTTGAACCCAGATAGGAGAATATTTTTATTCCACTATTTCCTTTTTCCCTCGGCTGGATTGCCGGAAAAAAGCTCGTAAAAGGATCTCTGACGCCAAGCCTTTAAGACTGAACTCCCTCAGAGTAGAAGGTATATTGACGCGAAGATAAGCTCTACGTACGTTCGTCCCAAGCATACGAGACCCTTCCGCTATGACGGGCTACCGAAAAGAGCATGAGGTTCAGAGATCCCTGACCAGCGCATGCGCATTCATGGACCACTGGCGTATTTGATGATATACTTGTATTCACGGTCTAGGCTTTTCTGCTCAAATGGTCTCTCACCGGACGCTGAATGTGGCCGAACAAAGCCGTACTGGGTAGACGTATGAAATGTAAACACGTCATGAATAGAAAACCCGCACAGATGTGCTTTTTTTTTTTTTTTTTCCGACAGCGACTCAGCTACATACAGCACTTGTATGGACAGCAGATTTTAATTTGGTCCGCCTTTTTGCTAGAAAGGAGAGTATACGCTGGGGATGATGGTTCTGCAGAGATATGATTCAACGCACGGGACTTAAAAGCGGGGTGTAAAAAAAAAAAAGGAAATAATTTTGCAGTCTGTTTCGTACTTTTTTACAATTTCGTGGTGTTTAATTGTATCTAAATTCGTCTCGCTCGAAAATAGCAAAAAAAAAATATCTCTCTTCCTTCAAGAGTTAACGTACTAAATTTATTTATTTGATTGGCATATAGGTCGGAGACCTTCTTTTACGTAAAAATAATTTAGCTGGATTCGAAAATATTAAAAAGAATAAAGTAGTGAAGGTCCATTTCTGGTTTCTTGTGTATTTCAGACGAGCTATTATCACTATTATTTTTATAGTCCAGCTTATATAACCAAGCGCTCATTTCCTCACATGAAACATATTTATTCTTTTTCCCTAAATATTCGATTGCTTTGAACATATGCGAGTCCCTAAGTTTCCTTGTTTCGTCACTCGCTACTACCTACTGATGGCGACCAACAAAAGAAAATCATTATTTTTTACGTGAGACGCGGCATCCTTAGAAACATTTTACTCCAAATAATGCACAAACAAAAAAAAAGAAAACTTTGTAACTTGATACACCTGACTTGACTTATTGTATATTTTATTGTACAATTGATACTCCTGACTTGTAAAATTATATTGTATATATTGTTACGAAAATGTGCGGCCGGCAGCGAATGATAATGACGCGTCCACTCAATGAGATAGAAAGGATTTTATGGAAGCCGGGCCGTGCGCGCGGAGCCTGGCGCGAGATGGTCAGGCACGCCACTGCCCCAGCGTCGTCGTCGTCTTCGTCACAATATTGATACACCTGACCTGACTTATGCTCATTGGGCCCAAGTACGTGAAGTTCATAGCTGCTAAAAAAATTTCGAGCAATGCGATCTACAGTGTAAGGTTACTACTGTTACAGGGGCACTTCAAAAGGCATTTAGCCAAATGCCGTTCGAACGATCAACAAATCAGCTCGCGATCCCGGCTCTGAGGTGCGTTTCACGCAAACGTGCGCTGATTTCGCTGATTCTTTAGCCGCCTTCGGTCTTATTGCCGTTTGGAATGCTCGTGCGGCAGGGCTATCAGGATCAGCGTTTCAGTGAGTGCGCATAGATTGGTCAGGGATCTTTCAACCTTAAACGTTTTACGGTGCCACTTATTCCGGAAGGGCCTTATGTGCCTTGGACGAAACTAGTACTTATCTTGGTCGTAAGTACATTCGACTCAAAAGGAACCCAGTCTTAAAGGCTTGGCTTCAGAGCTCCTTTTACGGGCGCCTTCCCGAAACAACAAATAGGACGAGAAAAATATAAAGAAGGAGACCTGTTTCTTCGCTCTGCAGGCAGAATTTGTCCCGTGCCATACCTAGCTCAACGCCTTTAGCGTGCCTCACACTGTAGGACACGTAAAAGAAGCCGTTATTAGTGGGAATTAAACTCAGCATGCCACTGACTAGATTTGAATACGTCGTGAAGAAGACCACACGTTACCGTGCCGCGTATTTATACTTCGTATGCCTCATGGCAATCATTCCAAGTAGTTTTTTTTTTTTTTTTTGCACACGGCATAGCGTACGAAACACGAACATTCCGCTGAATCGTAGTTTTGACGTAGTCAAATGTATTCGAATGCCAGTGGGTAAATGGGCCACTGGAGTGGTAATATAAAGTCCTTGCGGGGACACTAGAGTAAACCCGTGGGCATTTAAGCGTCAGATAAAAAAATGTCTCAATGTTGCTGGGCTGGTGGACCTCGCAAAGCGGGGACAACTCTGTCGTCTGCTTGCAGAGCCGCCATTCTGCTTCCCACTTATATATGTAGCCGTTTATGAGCTGGTTACGCCGTTATTGTTATTGGCATCGTCACTCGTGAAATGACCTGGGGTAACTTCAAGAACACGTAACATCTTCCGTTCCGTGAAATATGAGTTTGTCTTTTGGCGCCCTTTAGGGGGCAGGAGTTAAAGTGATGGCCGCGGACAGGGAAAGGTGGCACTTACCTTAGCAAAAAATGTCGCCACTCTAGCAAGGCGCGGCCAGCAAGCAACGCTGAAGAACTTTTCACACAACATGTTTTTTTTTTTTTTTTTTTGCTTTTTCGTCGCTTAGGAGCTACTCAAAGTAGAAACAATAGACCAATCTCACCGACCAGTTTGACTGCACCACCGCTGCTGCCATGTTTCGAGGGAACTTTAGTCTTGCTGCGCGTGCCCGAACCTCGCTGGAACTCATCCCTGCAGAGCACGAGACGGCACGAGCCGTCTCGGGCACTGCCGGCTGCCTCTTGTGAACTAAAGTTATGGCAGCTTCACGAAAGCGCCTATAGCTTGGTGAGACCGGTCTATTCTAAATGGAGACGAGCAATGATCTTTTTATTTTCTGTTGTTTTAAAGAAACTGAATGATAGGGCGGGCGAAGCGTTGAGTCAACGAATCACTTCATTTGAATTCGGAGAACCCAACAAAGCAGCTCTTAGAGGTCGGGCGGTCGGACGTCGCAGTCGGAGTTATTTGCTCCTCTTTGTTCGTCGAACCACCGAAGCGGGCGGCTTTCTGACGTGCCCACTTTCTTAAAACGTGTACAGGCTGCAAACGTCGCGCTAAGCGGCACTGCCACTTACAGCAGAGACACTTTGAAACTTTCTGAGGGTAAGACACTAACTAAACAAACGAAATAAAGTTTGTGCAGAAGTGTAGAACTACTCTTTGCTCGATATCCGCGTGCTTAAGAAAGACTAGGTTTAGTTCCCGCGCGGTTCAGGATCACTGTCCATGTGATTGACACTTTGTATAAGCTGAAAACAATCGATGCGTATGAATCAAGTTTGCCACAGTATAGTCGACACCCTCAGGGTGCTGAAGTTCTCTTCCGACATCTCACTTGCAACATAGGTATTTTGTTTCTTCGCGGGCACTGAACTTGGTATTGTCCACCAAGACAAAAGGAGGTCAGAGGAGATGAGAAAGTGAATGGCAGACAGGCGTCCCGCACCCCGTGCTTCCCTGGTGCATTACCTTGATGAGGGCGTCTTGGTATTGCCGATCGGAGAGCTTGTAACGGGAGGGCAGCCGGATATTCGCCCGCTTGAGTACCAGCTCCAATTCGTCCACGTCAAAAATGGGTAGCGGATCAATGCGATGTCTGAATATGAGTTGTCCGAGGTACTCGATGTAATGCGTTCTGTAGGAAAAGAAAAAGAAAAGAAAAAGATAACTCGCACGATGCCCGCCATGATCGTGGGCCGTTTCCTCATTTCCGTCAGCGCTGCCATTGCGAGTTTGCATGGACTTGGCGGAATGTCTCCCCTGGCGTTCCATGACGGATCAAAGACGCGGACGCTCCTGTCTTTCTCAGCACGCATTAGGACTTTCTGCCTACCATACACTTCCTTACCAAGCTGTTGTTTCGTTTTTGCCCGCGTGTCAATGCGTTGTCCTCTTTAAAGCAATTTCGTAGAAATAAAACAGGGAAAGCTAGGTCGGGCGAGCTGGTAATGTTCCTTCAGTATGAAATTCTGAGATAGAGGAAGAACCTAGTCCAATTTGTTGGCTCCTCGATATCAGGTAGGTTTACGATGACGCCGTTTCACTTTTACCTCCCTTGAAAATAATGTATGCTGTTAGAATGACGTGCACGGTCGGTTCATTATTTCACCGACTTCTCTTGTTTGGCGCGACCTCGTTAGGACTGGAGTGAAAGTTGTACGTGCATTTGAGACTGTTTGCGAGTAGGATCGTGTGTCAAAAAGTAACTCCTTTTTACTCGCGTAATTGCCAGTGCACTTTATTCTTCTTCTTGCTTTTCTGTGTCGCTGTCTGGAAACGCTTCGCGTTATCGCCTTTCAGTCACCCAAATACTAAGTAAATTACTTAGCTGCCGCCTTAACACAGCATAGCTGGAAGTATGCTATATTCACACGGGCAGTCTAAACAAGTATGTGTAACAAAAAATGCACTGTTTTAATAAAAGGCTCTTAGCCGGAGACGTCTGCGCTTTGGGGTGGATGACTTGGGCTTTGTACGCTTTTCAAAGCAGCTAAATCGCGCGTGTTGAGTAGTGGACTATAAAGCTGCTGGGCTGCGTGGGTGTCGAAATATTGAACCTATCTAGTCACGACTTCATCCCAGTATAGGCGCCGTCAATCGCGAAAAACTATGAAACTGACTAGTAATAGCATAGAAAAATCCTCGTGTTAACTCTCAAAGGGTCATTAACTCGAGCTGAAGGCACAGTAATTTATAAACTCTAACCTCTATATGACAACAACTTGGATGGTGTGAAGTGATCGTAGATAAAGATAGGTGCCAGCAGGCGCTCGGTCAAAGCACGCACTGTTATGCCGGGCAGTCACAACACACATAACAAACTCTTTAAAAACCATTCAGCCCTCTAATGTAGGCCTGAACACGCGTGGTGGGAATGCGATGTTCTACATGCGCATGTTCGTAGCATTGGAAATCTAGAAAAGAATGCGTCCCAAAAAACAATGACCGCATCTCCACGTGGTGAATGATGTTGATTGGGGCGAAGCTCTGATGGTGCTGTCTGCGTAGACGCTGAGCCGCAGCATGCCGAGCTTTTCGTTAGTTTTCATCCATGTCAGAAAGAGAATGTGTGGTATGGAACGTGGTTATACACGCATTTGAGCATTTGACCGCAGCGCCCTCTCGTCTATAAACGTTGAGCCAATGCATGCAAAGTTTAACGCGATTATATACGCATTTGACCGCAGCGCCCTCTCCTGTATAGACGTTGAGCGGCTACATGCAACGTTCATCCATGACATCCCCAGCTCTTGAGTTACTACCACATTTTAGAGCCCCCTACTCGTCCCGCAGTCGTGGTCGACTGGTTAAGGCGATGGTCTAGAAATCCATCGGGGTCTCCTCGCACAGGTTCGAATCATGTCGACTGCGCGAACACTTTTTTTCTTTTTTCAAGAAGACAGATGGGATGGCAATCGATGTGAGCACGGACGCCGCGGACGGACAAGGCTAGAAACCTAAGGAGCTTCGCCCCTAAAACCGACACTGAAAATGGCATCGGCTAGATTCCCTTTGTTTGAACAATGGATACTTATTCTTCTAACTTGAACAAGGCATCTGTCAAAGTACCCTACTGAAAGAAGAAAAAAAGACATAGCCTCCATAGGACTCATATCCCATGATACCATAGGAAACAGCGATATGACAGATTATATATATTTTTCTCAACGAAGAACACACAGGTCATGAATAGATGGATGCTAATGGCTGTACCATTTGTAACGGGCGGTAGCTTGCGCCACCAAGACTAAGTCTAAAATTGGTAGACAGCCATGATATTTTATCACGGTTGTCTACCATAGTTTCCCTCTCCCGTGAAGCATAAATGGTATTTATGTCTTCCACCTGCTTTTAATAATTTTACAATTAGCGGTATGTTTTATTAAATAGATGTGGTGCACAGCACCGACAGTATTTTGTGCGCAATATGTTTATAATGCGTGTATAAGAAAGTGGAGATTGTCTCGAACCATCTGAAATTGTGAATTCCGCTAATAAAACAACCTTATTTTCTGGTTTTTCTTTATATGGGTCCTTCGTATGGTATTACCGGATATGGGTCAAATGGGTGCATATGTTTTTTTGTTTGTCTTTATAGTAGGATAAGCTTCGTTACGGCTGTCTTTAAGTAGTTTCCTTTGCAGATTACAACAGAGCACAGCCAAAATCAAATTTGGGGGTTTTACGTGCCAAACCAACGGCGGGCATCTGGCACGCCCTAGCGGAGGACTGAGGATTAATTTCGACCACCTGGGGATCTTTTGACGTGCAACCGAAAGCTCGGTTACACGGCGTCTTCTCCGCAATAAGCCTCCGTCAGATTGCGGGTACCTCACCCCGGCCGGGATTCGAACCCGCCACATTGGGATCCGTAGGCCGACGCTCTCGCCTCGGAGCCACCGAGGTGGCTAGAGCACAGCCGCCGCAAAACCTCAATAAACATCCGCCAGCACTTTGTTTTTCACTTCACAATCCGAAAGGCCGCTTACATCGATCTGCTCAAATGAAGTCTGTTTTAGATAAGCTTTGAAACGTTTGAAAGCTACTCTGACAATGATACGTGACCGACATGTGCCCTCGTGTCATGCATAGCGCATTTCACCGAATGGAAGTTCAGTTTTCTTTTTGATTAAAATTACTCTTCTAAGCCATTCGTGCCAATGTGATTCCCGTAATCATCGATCACAGCGGAGACGGAAAACCAAAGTGAAAAACGTCGGCATATTTTGTTTATACGGCGTGCAAGTTCCTTGCGCACCTCATGCGTTAGTTTACCCCCCCCCCCCCCCCCCCCCCCCCCGCCCCAAACACACCCACGAGCTTTCGTTCTCCCTGGACCTCAGCTACGGTGTTAAGGCCCGTTCACACTCTTGCAACCGAGTACGACCGAGAGAGACCAGACCGGTTTTAAGCCTCTTGTGATGTCTTAGGACCAGCTCCGCAGCGGCGCATCTGGTTCTAAGACGTCGCAAGAGGCTTAAAAACCGGTCTGGTCTCTCTCGGTCCTACTCGGTCGCAAGAGTGTGAACGGGCCTTTAAGCGCAGTTCACACATATGCAACCGAGTAAGACCGAAGGAGACCAGACCGGTTTTTAAGCCTCTTGCGACGTCTTAGGACCGGATGCGCTGCAGCGGAGCTGGTCCTAAGACATCACAAGAGGCTCAAAGACCGGTCTGGTCTCCTTCGGTCTTACTCGGTTGCATATGTGTGAACTGCGCTTAAAGGCCCGTTCACACTCTTGCAACCGAGTAGGACCGAGAGAGACCAGACCGGTTTTTAAGCCTCTTGCGACGTCTTAGAACCAGCTCCGCAGCGGCGCATCTGGTTCTAAGACGTCGCAAGAGGCTTAAAAACCGGTCTGGTCTCTCTCGGTCCTACTCGGTCGCAAGAGTGTGAACGGGCCTTTAAGCGCAGTTCACACATATGCAACCGAGTAAGACCGAAGGAGACCAGACCGGTTTTTAAGCCTCTTGCGACGTCTTAGGACCGGATGCGCTGCAGCGGAGCTGGTCCTAAGACATCACAAGAGGCTCAAAAACCGGTCTGGTCTCTCTCCGTCTTACTCGGTTGCAAGAGTGTGAACGGGCCTTTAAGCGCAGTTCACACATATGCAACCGAGTAAAACCGAGGGAAACCAGACCGGTTTTTAAGCCTCCTGCGACGTCTTAGGACCGGATGCGCTGCAGCGGAGCTGGTCCTAAGACGTCGCAAGAGGCTTAAAAACCAGTCTAGTCTCTCTCGGTCTAACTCGGTTGCATATGTTTGAACGGCGCTTAAGATGTGCACAGCGACCTCAACCAACGACGGTGCGCGCTTGGCTGCCTCGTCATCGTGCGTTCCCTGCGCCTTCTCCACGTTGCCCCTTGGTTGGCGCGCTCCTCCTTGCGTTCCCATGCGCTGAAGACGCATTTTGGAATACTTGCTCGCCGTATGAGTACGAGTTCGAATCCTTCGTTTTCTAATACTCGATGTAAGCGTTCGCGCGCGTCGAAACCTATTTTAGAGTGACATCGTTCTTGGTAGATCGGATATGATCTACTAAAGCTTTCTATTAATAACCATTATATTGCACGCAATCAAATGAGAAGACTCGCCTGCACAGCCCGGCCATGCCGGCTTCGACACATTTCCCACAAATATCGTCTTTGAGGCCCTCTGACGTCTCCTTCTGTTCGGGGACCTGACACTTGGAAGTCTTTTCCCAGTGCGCCGGCGGGTCTTTGTTGAAGGCCACAGCTTTCTCCTGGGGTACGTAATATATAATACGGTGTAACACACACACAAAAAAAGATTGTTTTGCGCAAAAGAAGCGGCACCATAAAGAAAGAGTCGTATAAGTATAAAAATAATTAGACAGTCACCCTAGCTGAATTGTATGCATATATCATCTGGAACAAGCAAAAACGCTAACGTACTCGCACACTAAAAAGAAGAGCACGATTATTTACGATGATATTGACCTAAATATCCTCGGTAATTTACGTTAAAAAAAGCAAATTAATTTAGGAGTTCTGCAGAATTCACCCGAGAGAAATGTCGGAAGGCAGAAAAATCCCTGAAAACCGAACATACATTAGCTTCGTCCGATTTAACAGCAGCTATTGCACCGGTTAAAAAAAAAGTGCACGGTGGTGTACTTCCGATCGTATCCCTCAATACGCATACCGGGAGTACACTGCCCTACACTTTTTTGTGTCGGTGCAGGAAGTGCAGGTAATTCGAACGAAGCTAATAGGGAATTGTAGTAGATCGTTTTTCTCCTCCGCTACGGTATCCCCGAAGAAAACGCCGCAGCTGCGCATGCGCGCCGCCAGCCTTGTTTGCATAGTTCAAGGTCTTGTGGCGGATTACGGAGCGCTATCCGGGTGCTTAGCGGGCTGCGGGAACGGTCTACTACAATTCCCTAATGACACACGCAGCGGTTGCACCATTTTGCGAGAGTTCATTTTCTGGATTGGCGCGTGTTGTTTCCCCGCGTCCTAATTTAACTTCCGGAAGTAAACTAACGTGTCAGCCGAAGGAACAGCAAGGGCGCGGGCAATATAGCTGGTGAAACTTTATCGGACTTGAGACCCTGACACGTGGGAAGACATGAGCCCCATTTAAGCCGTGCTCACACTGCTAATACACCATACAAATGACGGTGTCCGCTTGTATTCCCATTTCCTCGTACTTCCTTGCATTTCCGTCACATTGGTCGTACAAAATAATGTCTGCAGTGGTGTCCGACGCTTTCATATGTATGAAGCAAACGTGCTTTGAACGTACTTGAGGGGTGTCCGAAGGTGATTGTCATATACGTTTGCAGCGAACGCCGCGTCTTTTGTACGACGTGTACGAGCAGTGAGACTCCGGCTTTAAAGGTTGTTGCGGTCGGTGTGTGCAAGTGTGTGGGGGCGTTTCACTCGTTTTTCTTTTCCCTAATTCCACTCCACTCGGGTTTCTAAGAATGGCTTTCGTGGAAAAACGGAAGTTCCGACAGGTGTTTGCTTTATATTATCAAAGACAATTAATTGACCCGATTGTTATCGATTCAGCTGCTTGTAGCCAGATACTTTAAAACTCTACTTATGCTTACGTATCCTTCTTTTTTTTTTATCACTTACCTCCAGCAGTTTCTGCAGTTCGTTGATATCTTTGTCCCGCAGATAAAAAAGACAGTTTCGGGGATGATGGGCGTGAAGGCCAAGCTTCGCGCAAATCGGAGACCAGCCGCACTTCTGTAACGCCGAACAATGGGTGTGTGAGTCAAAGCGCCATATCAACGAGTGCTGCCTGTTCGGGGCTTTTGAATTCTCACCTCTCCCATTTTGAAGGGTTGATTGCAACCGCAACAGAAGTCGAAGCCGCACTGGTAACACTTGAAGTGCATGCAGCCGCCCCGCGCCAGTGCATACTTGAACTTGCAGTTTGGGCAGTCTGAAACGGTTTTGCGATAGTTGATTACAGCAGTGTTTGAATGACGCCACGAAGTGTCAGATCTACCGGAACTCGCACCTCAGTTTTTCTGCAAAGTTGCTATCGCCGTAGGAAACTATGTTCATTAATATGCGCACCCTGGTTATACATTATGTCTCGCGAACTAACCTCAACACCCCCCCCCCCCCCCCCAAAAAAAAAAAAAATGTTAGTTTTTTATGGAACGGACTGTGCTTTTCTGCGAAGCACGTGAAACGTGCAGTGAGCGCAACTCCCCTCCACTGCCGTTCTTCGCTCTCCAGTCTCAGTTTCACCGTTTCGAAGTTCCGACCACAGTTTCGGCTTATTTAATCACCATTAGCTCGCTTCATATAACAATTATGGGCACTGTACATTATAGCGGTTCGCAACAGAAGCTCAGCCAATAACGAAGCTCGTATACTTTGGCCTAAGAAGTGCCAAATACTCCATTGAATCTGAACACGATGCCTCAGCCAAGAACACTAGTTTAATCTGAATCCTCAACTGAGCTCACAACAAACTGGAAATATTGTCTCTCACGTCATCCGAAACGATCAAAAATGCTGCTAAAAAGCACGAAGACTATACCAAGAACGAAGAGGACACTGACAGCGCTTCGTTTGTCAATGTCGTCCTCTCTCCCCTACTAAACTTTTTTCTTTCGGGAAAAGGGGGGGGGGGGGGGGGTTGACAATTTATAGGCATCTTCCATCAAACTGAAATAATCCGATGGCTGCTTCTTCCCCCAAAGCATGCGAGCCACGAATTCTTGGCGGAGATAATCTTACAACCCAGGCATGTGATATGCATTTGGGTCACTCCTAAGCCTGGCGTATCACGCGCGCGGAGTTCTAGTTCGAATGACATTCAAAAACCTAAAAAACAGTTTTTAGGCCTTGCTTCACGTTACAACTTCTTTCGTGGATTTCCCTCCACCGACCTCTCAAAGAGCCTTCTGCCGGCCTTCTTTTTGTCGGTCGATCCGTCGAAAGCCTTTACCTCCGCTTAATAGAAAACCCAGTGTGTCTACTTCAACGCAAAGCACTGGAGAATGCCAACGTTCTACATCCTTACGCTATGCTAAGTGTGACGGCGCAGACTGCTTTTTTAAGATTAAACCAACTTTTCGGCCTCGTCATTTGCCGAGCTTTCTTCATATGATGATAATGCAATTAATGCAAAGGTGCAAACGAGGTGGACAAGAATAATGATACTAATAATCCCGGGAGTAGGGGAGCATGGGGGGCAAAGGGCAGACACAAATTTCCAAACACTTCAGTCGCTCACCAGTCAACTAGCTCCGTTTGTAAATGTGTGTTTGTCCTTTGTCCCCTCGTTGCCCTTCCCCAGGGATTATTATTATCGTTATTCATGTCCTGCTTACTTGCACCTTTGCATTAATTGCATTATCATCATAACCTTTAAATGCAGGACGTTCACCCTTGTTGGTGTTAGACTGGTGGCAGCTGTTACAACCCGTTTGCTCTACTGACATCGAACTCCTGGTTACCTGAGTTGGTAGAGCACTCCACTAGAAATGGAGAGGTCCCTGGTTCGATAGCAGGACTAGGTGGATTATTTCAGTCGCGCACCAGTCACCCAGCTGTTTTTGTTCCCCTTCTACAGGGATTATTATTACCGTCTTTCTCCATAGATTGCCGCGATTGGCTCTGCCAGGTACTTTGCGGGAAAGTAGACGCACCTGATATTAGAGAGTGTGGGGTGGTGCCCAACATGAACGGAGTCTCTGACGTGGACTATACTGACCGATGCCGTTGTCCGACAAGTAGCGCGCGATGCCCTCGGCTTGACTCTCGGGATCGTTGTCCTCTTGCCACTCCTGGAACTGCTCGCAACTGATGCCTTCGTGTTGCTTTTGCCACTGCGAGTGAAATGCCGAGCATTGGTCAACGTTGCGGGGCACTTCGTTCCAAAATTTGATTCACAAACGAAGGTTTTGACATTCGCTTAAGGAAACGTTATGGCTTGAAAACTATACAGGGTGTCCCAAAAAGAATTTTACGGCATTTGTTTTTTTGTGTTTTTTTTTTATTACAAAAATATATATGCATCGGCGAACGCTCAGTTTTTGCCCAAATGTAGCACTATAGAGGCTGGAACCAGATGCCAAAGTTTCAGCCCGATCCGATATCTTATTCAAAAGTTATAAGTGATTTTCTGAAAATTTCAATGGGAAAATGCGGCCCATTTTTGCCCGTTTTCGGTTTCTAGCGACATAGAGCTCCCTGTATTCGAGAGCTCCGTCGGCCGCCATTTTCCCGTTGAAATATTCAGGAAATCACTTATAACTTTTGAATAAGATATCTGGTTCACACATCTAGCGCTACCTTCGGGTGGAGAATGAGCGTTCGGCGATGCGTAGTTTATTTTTGAGGTGAAAAAACAAAACAAAAATAAAGTAATTCTTTTGAAGGGGGGAGGGGGGGGGGGGGGATACCCTGTACATAACCTTGTCCTGAAATATTGCGTTTATATCTGCTGCGTATTTTGATTTTTCTTTCTGTGAGTAGTTTGTTGGATAGATTCGAGAAGAGAGCGGTGTTGTCAACAGTCCTTTCGCTCATCTTTGTTGATCGATCATCTTGAAATAATCAACCTCGGCACTAAATATTGAAAAAAGAAATATTCAATACAAATAATTTACTTTGCAACTTTAAACCATTTCATTAACTTCTGAGGTAAGCTACAACTTTTTAATTGAGAATTCGCAAAATATAGGATTTTAGAATAGTGCCCGTACGAAGAAGAAAATTGTAATCGTAGCGATGCGGGCGAGTGCCAGAAGCGATTTAGCAATCATGCTCTTCATTTCGTATCAAGAGAGCAATGCGCTACTCATATTAGTTCCGTAAACCTTTTTTTCGTCTTCCTCGGATCTAGGCTTTCCTAGGAGAATATTACGCGCAAGAAGCAAATGCACACAAGAAGCCGAAACGGGCCTGTCAGAACGCACCTGACTTGGTAAATACGGAGGGATGAAAACTTTTCGACTAATTAATGCTCCACTTTTCGCTTCGAGTCCGTTATATATACTCTATCTCACTAGTTAGGTGCAGTACTGCGGAAGTTATGGGCGAGAGAGAAAGGGAGGCAAGCTTCTCTTGCACAAAATGTGTGTGACAGGCTAATTAACCTCTGAAGGAAAGCAAAGCCATGTGGGGTTCACAAAAGATGGCCCGAGAAAGAGGGTATTTCCTCCTTCCCTTCCTTTTGAACTGCTCTGGTTTCGAACACTCTTGCCCCTGTGCCGTTGGCAACGCTGCGATCAACTAGTGAGATGGAGTATAGCAGAGTCTGTTCGTAACATCCTTTTGCCATGCGCATTTTGAGGAAAATGTTGCTATTAGCAATTAGTCTTTCGGCGTTCTTCGGATAATTGGAAAGTTTATCCCTTCGTATTGACGTCCTACCATTTTTTTTTCGCGGCGAATTGCTTTCTATCCAACGTTCTGCCAAAATTGGCACTCAGAAATACCACTTTCAGCGTTTAGGTTGAACGCGTCGTTGCTCAGAAATTGTGGATAATCCTATATAGCGGGTGTTATTTCACCCTTATCACATAGTGAACTTTGATGTCATGTAGCTGCTCATAACGAGAAACTTCTCACTCGGAGGTTTTTGTCATATTGAAGATTCGCCAGTGGTCTAGTTTCTCAAAAAGACACTGACAGGGTATTAAATTTATGCTTGCCGACGTTTTTATTTTAATGTGACCTATAAGAACCCAACTACCCAGGACACAATTTCCGGCTCCAAATTTGTTTTTTGTTTTCTTCTCGAAACCCACTTGTCGAGAATTGGCCGGTTTCAGGCGCTCTCACTCTCTTTTCTGTGGTCACACGGCGTTCAACTGAGCGCAACAAATATTTTCGAGGGGTATTGAAGACGCACATTCTATATTAAAATTGTAAATAATATAAACCCCATTATTTGTGGCTTCCAAGAAGCTGCATATTCGTTGATTGGAAACAAAATATGTTGCACGGATCACAAAAAGTACAGGGTGTCACAAAAGAAAATTTACACAGTATTTTTTACCGCAAAAATAAACTAGGCATCGCCAAACACTCATTCTCCGCCCAAAGGCAGAGCTAGAGGACACAACCAAATGCCAAAGTTTCAGCCCGATCCGATAACTTAATCAAAAATTATAAGTGACTTTCTGAAAATTTTAATGGGAAAATGGCGGCCGACGGAGTTTTCAAACACGTGGGGCTCTATGACACCAGAAACCGCAAATGGGCAAAAATGGGCTCCATTTTCCCATTGAAATTTTCAGAAAATCACTTATAACTTTTGATTAAGTTATCGGATCGGGCTGAAACTTTGGCGTTTGGTTGTGATCTCTAGCTTTACCTTTGGGCGGAGAATGAGCGTTCGGCGATACATTAATTTATTTTTGCGGTAAAAAAAAAACGTGTAAATTTTCATTTGTAACACCCTGTACATGTACTACGTCATTCTCAATATGGCGACGTACTAGGGGCTGGACGACGCGATGGCGGCGAACGATGGACCAACGTTGGGACGGAGGTGGCAGCGCTACTTCGGAACTATCGTTCGTGGTACGGGTTAATCGATCTTCAAGCACAGAACAACGGCCGGGAGGGATATAACAGCAAGACAATCGCACGACAAACGATGCACTCAACTTCGTCCTCTGCTTCGGACGGCAGAGAAGCGGAGGAACGAAAAAAATTATGGAAATTTGCTAGGCAATATACCCTTTCCGGAATTCAGTCTGGCCACATTGATCACTATCATCATATGAAAAATGGCATATGTGCTATACTAGCGGCGGCCTTCTGTTTACTGATGAAGGAAGAAGTTGAAGATGCTCCTAAGCAAATGATTTGAGGCATATACATTCTAGACGTTTGTGCGACGTGAATCAAAAATTGGATGCAAGAGCTGCGTAAGCGTTCATTTATAACTCGGGCCCAGTCAATCTGTTAGTAGCACTCACTCGGCTTTAAAGCCCCTTGACGTATAGAACTTTTTCAAGGCGTCTATCTGGGTTGACGCTTCGTTCTGACTGGTTGCATCTTTTTCGCCACCGACACCGAAAGAGATTGAAAAAAAAAAGCTGTATAGTGAAGCACCCATCCTCGTTTACCGATGACTTGCGAAAGTAACGGTGCCCCATAAAATACTGCAGACCACAGGTTCATTGGCGCCCTTAGTACGGTAAAAATTAAACTGCCGTTTCAGTCACCAGATGGCACTCAATTCCGGAAAGGGTCTATTGTGTTGCATACGTTAAGCGTTCTAGTATCACAAACGTTTAGCGATATGAGTTTCCAGACACCTACGCTCACGACGCTCTTCATAAGATAGTTTAATGCGCACCATGTGCACAGTGGCCCAAGTTTTTAATAATATCAAGCGAGCGTCGACCGCCGGGCCGGCCAGCGCCGTGCCGCGGAGGAATGCGGCGATACGGGAGAGATAGGCGCTTGCGCACAAAGCTCTTTCCGGAGCGAGCGCCTTCTGCTAGGCTATTCTGTTGACTGCACCGTCATATGCTTCGCTGTAAAAATTGATGAAAGCCACCTGATTCTCCAATTTTGTCGACTGACATCTGGCTGAAATCAATTAGAGATACCCGTGTGACAAAACCCTAGTTTGGCCACCGAAGAGAAAATAGAGGCGAAGCTAATTTTCACGTTAAATGAAAGTTTCAGAGTTCATGTTATAGATGATATCTTAAATGTGATGTTTCTACTAAATCTTAACCCCGGTAAGAAGCTCTGCTTACAATCAATTAAATGAATTCGTAATGTTATTGATATCTTTAATGACGTTAAATAAAATATCATTGTTAACTTTCTGTTTTTACTAGAGTGCTTTTTTTCTCAAACAAACAGTATACAAGCTAACCCCCACTTTCATTTGGCTGTCATAACGAATACCGATTGATTACTAGAAACCCCTTTGCAATAGTAGTCCATCTGCTAACGAAGACAGCGGATGCGAGGAGTTTCGCGGTCATAAGGCATCAGCTGAAAATAGCGCAGCGTTATATGTAGTTCTTTGTCGGATGTTAGAACTAAGATAAAGCTAACTGTTCAAAGATGTGATGTGCAGTGTAAAAGTTTATTGCATAAGTCGTATTTTTCAGTGCTCAGGCGTCAATGTCAACTTTGAAATTTCTGCGGAACCATGGGGTCGCAATTTCATGCTACGAGTATTTACCACATTTCAGTGACAGCCTAAATAGTAAATGGCCCTCGAGATTATCAATTCATACGTAAAATCCTCGCAAACTTTCCGTTCCCGTGTAACTTTATTTGCTTGTGTAAATTGAATATTAAGATAAATGAATACAAAATTGAAGAACACCTTTTTTAAAAGCCTGAGAAATAAAACGAGAGATTTAAGTACAAAAACAGGGGTATCTTTCAATTACATTCTTAAAACTACACAAGTAACCTTTCAGATACGTCACCCTAGACCACATATAAAAAATGTTTTTAATCAATTTGTCTCATTATTAAAGGGCCCAACTCGTACAAGGCAAGTTATACTTCTGGATTCCATCCATACCATTTTACGACACTCTACTTTCGTCATCACATACCCACAATAATACTAATATAGATGTCAAAATAGAATGTGTGTGTGTTTTTTTTTAAGTGAAATTACAAATAAAAGCCTGGGCGCGTAGATGTTCAAGATGTTCAAAGTGGGTTCATCAAAAAACAAAACTGCTACATGTTGCGCACTGAGTTGTCAATTTCAATTTCAAGCCACCGCTCCGTCGCTCGACACCGGCGTCTGCGAAAACTGTAAACAATATCCTCCATTCCTCCGGCACGGATCTATCGGTTACCTGAAGTTTGGACCCAAAACACACAGACACAGGTGTGCAGAACATGTCCAGAAAACAGAGCTTCTTGGTAAACATGAACTGCTTTGTTGAAGTTCCGATTTGGTCCAGTTGGTTCATGATCGGATATGCAAGCGCCAATAAAGACAAGGACAATGAAGTAGACGGACAGTGGCGCTATTGTCAGACTTACAGGTTTCCGGCAAAATGCGCAGGTGACCGCTCTGCAATCTGGACAAACGAGGCGCTTTTGGTCCGGATATGTGATGAAGCCCGACGAACACTGAAAGGTACGACAATGGGAAGAACAGTCGGCATGAAATCGTTCAAAGTAGGAGTAAAAAAAATTAGAGATGTTTACAAATCTCTGTAATGCCAAATTAGAGCGCAGCTTCTGCGGAGGAGGAGGGGAGGTTATGCCCTTCCACCTCCTTTGTACCCTCACCCCCTCCCCCTTTCCTCCTCCTTCTTCTCTCACCTCCTCCTTTTGCGTACCCTCCCATCCTCCTTCTCCGTACCCCCCTCCTCCCAAAGTTTCCCCGCTAAATTTAGCGGAAAATTTGACACCACGTGACCTCAACACCAATTCAGTTTCCCCGCTAAATATAGCCGGGAAATGACGTCACATGACTTGGTGTCACGTCACCTATGAACAAATTCAGTTTCACCGCTAGATTTAACGGTAAAATTGACATCACGTGACCTCAGCATCAATTCCATTCCCCGCTAAATTTAGCGGCGAATTGAATTGCTGTTTAGGTAACGTGACGTAAATTTTCCCCCTACATTTAGCGCGGTTACGACAACAACGACGGCGACGCCGACGCCGCGAAACACGGAAACGGGCGCCTAAGAACTGCGCTCTAAAATCACTCGCCGTGCACAGCAGAGTCGTATAGGCGCTCTAAGGAAGCTGTGCATGAAGACAGACACAGCTGACCTTTACTTTTCGTTTGTTTTCGCTCTGGTCGCTTGCATTTGTCGCTTTGATCATGTGAAAGATGCGTTCATTTTGTAAAAGCCACGATGTTCTTGTCATCAACGTATTTTTAGCGTGGGTTCGTCATCACCAGTTTCAGAGGGCGTCCCTCTCGATGAGGCACAGGAAGGAAAATAACAGTGGCTCCAATTCGTAGGACGCTCTAAAAGCGTATATATGGGATTCAATTTACTGATAGTCTATTGAAACAATTTGATAGTGTTCAGCTAACATATTTCATTGTGCATAAAAAGGGGATAATTTATGCAAAAAAGCCTCGCACACGCTACAAAAGTTAAGCCACAAAAGCTCTGGCGGTGATGAATCAGAAAGTAGCCCTATATTTATTACTTTATAATCAACAACTCAGCTGTTTTTATTACCAACGGATTTTATTAAATACTTTTTGATCGGTAGTAGTTGTAACTGTCATCGAGTATCTACATATGTGTTTGGTAAAAACGTGGACCTGACAGTCGACGAGGATATTGTGTTGAAGTTAACCGGTAATGGACAAAAGGAGTTTAACCCCTTCAACGTTCCTTTCTGCGGACAATCTTTGCTTTCGGGTGCTGCAGGAGATATTGCGGACGCAAGAAAGACGCCTGCTAGAATTGTAAGTCTCCTACAGACATTTTTTTATGCCAGCGTTTGAATAAAAGTGTGTCACAAACCTGGGAACACCATCGGAAGTTGGGATCCTTCATCAGAGCGCGGTCGCGAAGTTTCTGTTGGAACAAGTCGTACACGTCTTGCTCCACGAGGTTTTTTAACTGAAATAAAAAAAAAAGTGAATCTCGGGACATAGTCTTATAGGGGTATAAAATCGCACAGAGACAACATTTTCGCAGATTACACGAGCTTTTAGGAACTGGTCTACTTCCTCGGGGGGAAGTTAGAAGGCGAATCCCTTTAATCTACAGAAATAGCTCAACCGATTACGAGTACTTTGTGAAAAAAGTAGACGTTCAAGCTCTGTTCATAGAATTTCTTACAGTCAGCGACAATGTGTGGCACAATTATTAATGTTACAAGTTTGATCTTTCTTTCAGATCTGCTTTCTAAATGCCTATTAGAACCTAAGAAAACGTTGCTGTGAAGTAAACACAATAGTGGTGCGCAATGTTATGAATAATGAAGTAGTAATAAGTAAGAAACTGCTAGCGTATTAAAACGGTACAAGAACTAGGCAGTTACAAAACTACCACTTACAAAGAAACTAGTAAAAGGACGCTGGCATGTTATGCCGGTTTAACGTGCTTAAGCCGCTACATGTTATTAAAACAAATCTTGCATAAAAACAAAATGTAAGGGTGCAAGTTAGCTGGCGTTTGTCTTGTCCCCTATGAGTAATCCCATTATCAGATTCTTTCTACTATGTTTATATAAAACTCGTCATTTTTCTTTGTTGTTGGTTTTCATAGACTTGCCGCTATAAAGCTTCATTTTTAGTGGTTCTAGACCCGTACCTGACGGTGTCTAAAATGGCGGTCAAGTGCAGGAAGCAGTAACTTACCAAGACGTCGAGATTGTTGAAGTAATTGAGCTCCACGTCTTCATCGCCAAGGTCAGGTTCATTACAAAAGGGGCAGAGGAGTTCCGCAATATTTCTGTCCCGAATTTGAATGGTGAAATACGCCCGGAGACACTCGTTACACGCCCGGTGGACGCAGTTAAGCAGGGACACCATCTGCAAGTGGATGCGCTCTTCGTACATCTTGATTCGTCTATAGGATCTTTTTGAACAAGTATCCGAGCACAAATATAGTATACGGAAACACTTTATTTCCTACAGATAAACAAGTTAAACAAGAAACTAGCTGAAAATTATTTTGTGACTTTCACACCCCTCCTTGGTAGATTGTAGAAATCTGTTTTTGTAGATACTGAGTATTATAGTACACATCTACTTCACTCTAAAAAATTCCCGTGCGTCTACTTTCCTACACAACACTCGGAGAGACAATCACCGCAACTTACGGAGGCAGCTCAGCGAATGACGATGCCGAAACATACGTTTAGACCAAAAAACGCAGTCTGCGTTGTGACATTGAGCAATGCAAGCGTAACGTTTTGCATTGCTTAATGTCACAACTCAGACTGAGTTTTTTGGTCTCAAAATATGTTTCGCCATCGTCATTCGCTGAGCTGCCTCCGTGAGTTGCGGTGATTGGCTCTCCGAGTGTTGTGCGGGAAAGTATACGCACGGGCTTTGGTTTAGAGTGTTCGCTTGTTATTTTTTCTATTTTGATTTTTAAACTAATTTAAATTTACGCACCACTTAAATTTTTTTTTTTTAAGATTTCACAGTTAAGATTCCCGATAATCAGCATTTAATCACTTGCTTTCGATGCGAAAAGGATATACCGCAGTCGTTCTTTCTCTTTTTTTCTTTTTTTCCTTGTCCGAAAAAAACGAATAAAATAGAATTTTATTATAAGAACAAGGGTTCAATAACGTGACGTTGCTTACAAGGTGCGAATTGTTATATTGAACTATAGCTCAGTCATTTACTTCTAGAAATACTGACTTTCGTTATGTGGTTACCACAAATATCTTCCCATAGTTATAGTTCCCACTATAAAATTTTGTAAATACAAAATAGCAAGGAATTTTGTCAAGACGGCTTTTTGCTCATTTTGAGAATGTGATAAGTATAATAAGAAAAAACAAAACCCTTCCCCGATAATATTTCTACAAAATCGAAGCCACTTTGATTGCGATCATGTCTTATTTTTTTATGGATTCCCACGAGGAGTAGTTGTTTAAGCAGTACAGCAGTCAATCGTTCTCAACGACAAGAATAAATTAAACAAACGTTTTGGGATCGCGGTTTGAAATTTCGGTCGTTACAGATCAAGGCTCAAATAAAAGCGAGAAAAACAAGTTGAGCACTAACACTGAAACAGTGCAGTATTCGTGCTTATATGGTGAGTGTGAGTTGCTTGAAATCGAAAGGAAGGTGTCTTCACCTGACTGATGGGGTAGTTGGCGGCGCAGAGCTCGCACTCTTGCTGCAGAAAGTTGACAGCCTGGTAGATGCTGTCGCACTGTTCGGCCGCCACAATTGCGTCCTCCTCATCGAAGCTCATGTCGATGAGTTCGGCCACAAGTTGCGCGTGCACCATGCTGGGGCACTTTCCGTCTTGCACCAGCTCCTCCGCTTTGACCTGCGCAAAAAAAAAGAAAAAAAAAAGAAAAAAAAAGCGGGGTAATCGAATTCGACCTGCGCAAAAAAAAAAAAGAAAAAAAAAAGGCGGGGTATTCGAATTCGACGGGGACTGGAGCGGAGTGAGATAGCACTCTCGTTGGTCTTTTGGTGTGCGTGTCAAACGCTCTTCCTAAGCAGGTCATACCTTTTTTTCGCGTTTACTTAAACGAGAGATGTCTCATGCACGTGTCAATATAGAGTGAAGTGTGGAGAAATCGTTTGGGATTTCGTATAGCCACACATCTTTTTTTTTGTGTGTTTGTATAGTGTCAACAAGTCTCGCAATGTTTATTGGGATCTAAATATAAACTGAGGAACAATTCCTTCCTGTAAAACAGAAAAAAGAGGGCCTTTCAGCTAGTGAAAAACGCCGCTGCGATGACGCTTCAAACCAAATATAAAATCTGCAACTCAAGTTTCATTTTTCTTGTTTGTTCGGTTTCATTTTGTTTTTTAACTCAAAATATTGCGTTAGTACAGTGCTCCTTCCGCTCATGGCAACGCGTTATTCTCCATGCAGACCATGAGAATTCTTACATGTTCAATTTTTACGATATAAAAAAAAACCATGATAAGGTATTTCAACATCGAGGAAACCCGATACTGCAAAGCAAACAAGGGGACCATACACACACACGACCGAAACACAAAGCCGTCTCCCTTCTTCTTCTTTTTTTTTTTTTGTTTTCTCGGTTTCGGATTTTGACGATGTTGCAAGTTCAGCAGCTCGCCCGTATCTTCTTTCGTTGTTTCTATAACAGCAGCCTAAGCAATAGAACATTATGCAGTGTGATTTTCTAAAGCTTTACAAATTAAAAAAAAAAAACATGAAAGCTACATTTATGGAGTCTGCGCAGGTGAGATGTACTGCCAGGGGCAGGGAGACATAATATAGAAGGATAATCGCCCTGAAAAGTCGGTTATTGAACAAAAATGTTTTTCCTTAACTTTTTAGCTATTGAAGTTAACGATATGTTTCCAGTCAGAAACTTGTAGAACGTCATCTAAAACCACTGGATATAATTCTAGAAAGATTTGGGCCCCGTGGGAAGTGCGATGGTGTTATGACGTTCCCACTCGTTCAACACACGCAAGGCTAGTGGTGCGGAAACGGGACCCGCGCGGTTTTTCCGTTGCTTATCATCAGCCTTTTCGCACCGCCAGCATTGCGACCGTTGCACGTGTGTTAACTGTAGAGCAACACCGCGCTTCCCGCGCAGCCCAAATCTTTCAAGAATGAACTTACTCGGTGGTTTTCAATGCCACCCAGCAAGTTTCTAATTGGAACTGTATGTTTGTTTTCACTAATTGAAAGGTTAATCAACAAATTTTAGTTAATTACCAGACCTATCCCGACGTTATCACCTTATGATATGTTCCCCTGGCTGTATAACTCACCTGCATACACCACATTAATGCAGCTTTTAAGTTTTTTGTTTTTTTTCCATTTTTACATTTTTAAAACCTAAAAAACAAGGACACCCATAGACCTTTGCAGAAATCGTCTTCTGCACGCTGCCCTCTTTGTCTGCTGGGCTGTGGAACGCCTTCTAAGCATGCGCTGTTGCTCTGTTGTGCGGTATATTAGATGCTGGGCATGCTTCCACAGCTCAGTGACTCAGCATTTTTCGCCCGGGTGATAAGCAATGCAAAGGGTCTATACATGGGTTTCACGTGACGTCATTCAAAGAGCGCTCCGATGACCACCAGAGAAGAGGGAGCTCCCCTTATCAGGATCCTCTTTTGTGTCTCCCGGATTTGCACAAACGTCGCTATTCTCCTCCCAGAAAATTATACAAGATTAACCCGTCACTCAATATTCTTACAAAAGCAGCTTTCTTCTCCTCCTCTTACATGGTGGTCAAAAGTGTGCGATGTGACGTCAGTGCCACCAATGTATGAGAGCGGGGCACACAGCCTAAGCGTGTTTGACTGTTTCACTTTCCGACCGCAGCCAACGCTACGCTCCGATGGTGTCAATCAAACAGCCCCAAAGGTGCATTGTCACTGTGCTCATCGCCTTTGTGCGTTTGTTATGACCGACTTCCCCAATCACGCGCAGTGAATGCGCCGCAATCCTGTGCTTTTCCTCGAGCGTGAGTGGTGTGGCAGGTGACGGCAAACCCAGAAAGACAACCAGCGACGTGACAATGCACTTTTGGGGGTGCTTGATTGGCTGGACCAGATCCTATAGCGTAGGCTGTGGTCGAACTTAAAGTGAAACGGACTAGAGGAGTGAATGTACGAGCGCGAGCATTTTCTAACGCAGTCTAGAAACTAAGGAGCGCCTACCTTATACTGCGTCTGCTTTTCGGTAGGCAGTTTTCCCGCCGGTCTGGGCTGCACGACCTGCTTGCGTTTCTTGGGCGGCGGTACAGACCTCAACTTGGCGATGTTGGCTGCGACAGCTCTGGAAATGTGCAAGCCCGGTCTCGCATTCACGCTGCTTCTTCGCTCCATGGGTTTTTGAGGTTTGACGATGATGACGCTCCCGTCCGGACCCCGGACGGCGCTGTCTTCCCCGTTCTCACCCGATCGACTGGGTCGCCTCAACGAGGGCCTCCTGTAAAGGCCCTTTCCCGTTGCCGTCGACGGTTCTACGTTGAGGCTGTCCGACCGAGACGTTTCAGTCGAAGGTGTTCCCTCAGGCTGTGGTCGTTCACGTCTCCTGGGCGCCGTGGTATCGCTCAGGCGTCTCCCTTGCCTTCGAGGGACGGTTGTATTGGTCGCTTCGTCGTCTTGTTGACGAGACGGTCGGGAGCGCCTCGTAACCTGTCCCTCTTGCTGGCTGGTGGTTTGGGGTACGATTCCATCAGGTGTTTCTGCTTCCGATACAACCACCTCCACTTTATCAGCTGAAGAGGAAGATTGCGTCAACGCGTCATATGAATTCCGCGGTTCTTGCGCGTCAATTTTGGCCGAGCCTTCGACCTCCCGTTCCTTTGGACTCAGGCTACGATCCAGCACTACAATTGGTGGTCCTGTAGTTGCTGCGTCATCATTCTGAGTGGCCATCAGAGCTTGAACCGAACTGCTTGGTGAGTCAGCTTTCTGAGACGTGGTTGTGCTAGCGTCCGGCGTAAAGGGAGCTGTAGAGACGACGTTTTCTTTGTCGACCAACTGCCGTGTTTGTTGAGAGTCCGGGCTGCTTTGAGTACGGGGGACAGTCACGACTTCGCTGCTGCCTCCGTCGGCCTCGGGCCCTTTTGTTGACCCTTTGCTTTTGTTTGTGTTCGTCTCGCCTTGGTTAGGTTCTCTAATGCTACTCTTGTTTAGGCTCGTACTAGCTATTCGAGCTTTTAAGGCGCCTTGTTTCTCTTGTGGTATAAGAGTCTTAGCTGGAGTGTCCTGAGTTCGGGTTTCACTTTTGTTTAGCTGTGGTTTGATGCTTGAGGTCGCCTTGACCTTTTCGAGATTGGTAGACCTGGGCGATTGTGCACCTCTCGCGTTTTGTAGCTTTGGCGAGTTATGTCCTACTTTGGGCGTTTTAGGTATATCTGACGCTGGAGCTGGGTTGAAATGTCGTTCCAGAGAACTGCCGTTGTTGCTATTGTGGACAAATGCCTTTGATTGAGTTGCCTCGGCAGCCGATATGGAAGGTTTCTGGGGCTCTGGTTGCACCACGGGCACTGGTGGGGAGGTCATAAAAGAAATCTTGGCAGCATGTATGGATTGTTTTATGTTTTCTATTGAGTTACGATTGTGTGAATCATCAGCTGTCTCGCTGGCTTCCTTTAGTGTTGGTGTCCCTGCTGTTTGAGACAGTCCTGGTGTAATTGACAGGCCTTCGTTTATTCGTTCCCTTTCATTTGACTTCTGTTTAGCATTCAACAATTTACTAAGAAAACCCTCCTTCCGTGCAGCCGATGGGGCGGCCGTGGGAGAGATGTTTTGGACCTCTGCGGGTTGACCAGTCACAGCTGCTTCTTTTACAGTCTCAGTACTGACTGTGGTATTAGAACCTGTGCCGTTCATCGCACTGCTAGAGCTTTCAATTGCATGGGGTTCGAACGTGCTAACTTCCTTCTTGTTAGAGTCTTTTCTAAATGAAGACAGTCGCCCCAGAAATGTTTTCGGCTTGGCGCCTGTGGCCTCGACTGAAGCGAGAGTTTCAGATGACTTGGTCGCCCCGCTGCTGCTGCTGTCTAGGGGCGTCGTGTCGGACGCAAGTGTAGCAACTGATGTCGATGTTTGACATTTGGATTCGGCATTGTCGAATGTATCTTTCTTCACTACCGATGCGATCTTCTTTCCGTCAAAGACAGAAGCCAACGTCCAGCGTCGTTTACGGTCCGTATGAACTTCCTTTTTCGACTTTCGCCCTCTCTCATACACCTTCTGAGCTTCGCGACGCTGGAGTATCGCCTCGAGGCGTGAGCTCGTAGTACGTGTCATAGACGAAACACTGCTGACGTCCGAAGTTTCCCTCTGACTTGAAAAGGACGACGCCGGTGAACTCGACCGGCCACGCTCTCCTACGATGTCTTTGGTCCTGGTGCCGTGAAACGAGTGTCTGTTCTGAGTTCGTCCATCACCCGCTTCCAACCGGTAGGCGGGAACCTGGGACGCATCGAGGGACTCTAGCCAGTCCTTGACACGTTTAGTGACGCTGTCATCGGATTTACTGTCAAGAGGAGACGGGAGCGTAGGTTGCGCTCCTTCGTCGTTGTCCACCCCGGTGCCAGGCCCCCAGATACGCATCAGGAACGGTTTAAGCGTCGCCTTCGTCAACTGGGCGTACGCCATATCCATGTTGCCGTGGTTGTCCGTTAGAGCTGTCAGGATCTCTTCACGGCTGAAGGTCCCCCTCGAACTCAGCTCCATAAACTGCAGGAAAAAAGGCAGTCAACAGCGGAATCTATAAAAGAAAGCATAAAAATTCACTGGCAAGAAATTAGAAATAATAAGTTACACGGGCATATTGCGGTTCACTATAAGTAAATATGTTAGTCACGTTTATACAACTTAACACGTTAGTCAATCGACTCGCAACAAAAAAAACAACACGTTTTTGTCGGCGTGTCGGTAATCCTTTAATTTTTTGCTGAGATATTTTTTAATCACTTTTAAACATAATAGTATACACGAACGTTCGCGCTGAAGCAAACGTGCCTCTCCTATGTGTTATAAGTGCCCTAGTTGTGAGTGTACCATTCTCTGCCGGTTTTCGACGCACTCGGTGACGGCTGCCCAGATATTGCCTTTCTGACGACGCAGGGCATTCTGGGCCTCGCTGACGGACACGATGCCGATGGTGTTGTCCCTGCGATCGTGACCGTAATTGGTGGCCAGGGTCACCACAGTCTCAGTCATGTGACGCCAGTTGTCTCGGAGCCAGTTGATTGGATTGTCGTTCCCGCAGTGATTCATGGCCACTTGCAGATCGTCCGCCGTGAAGCCACGCTGTTCCGCCTCCTGGTGAAGAACCGAAAACAGCGGTCTGGAGGAAAGAGAGCGATACTGGCACGTCCGTCAGAATCACTGTACTCGCTTAGTCTAATGCGGCCATTTTGTGAGCAACTTCAGTGCGGCTAATTTTTCGCATCACAAATGGAGAGCTAAAGTCCCTGATCCAGAGAGATCGGGAGCCAGAGCAACTTGATCTCTGGATTCTCACGTCATCCTTCGAGTAGCAGCCGACGTTTCAAGGGAAAGCGTTGGCTCAGGCAGGCCCGCCTCGCAGTTGTATAATCCGTCTGTAACCTCCCCCCTACCTCTCCCCCCCCCCCCTAAAAAAACCAGAAATGATTGCAAAAAAGACAGCTATCACTATATAAGCAATCGTGTGCGTTTACGTTCTCGCAAAGTAGTTGAGAGTGTGAATCGCTGCAGTCTACGGAGGGAGCTTGTCAAATGACAAGACTGATAATATATTTTGACTTAAAAAAAGAAAAACTTTCTACGCTGTGACATTGAGCATGACGTTATCACATAAAACGTCATGTTCCGTGTCATAGCGCAGTAAGGTTTTCTACATCTAGACATATTTTCAGCCTTGTCATTCGCTGAGCTTCCTCCGTAGACTGCAGCGATTGGCTCTCCCAAGTGCTTTGCGGGAAAGTAGACGAACTTAATGTTATATAGTGTATTTTGTACTGCAAACTGGATAAGCGTGTGTATTGTTATGCACCCAAGAGATCTCTCGACCAGGTTGCGGGGCGACTGGTCTCAGATAGATGAGACAGAAAGATAAGGTGACACCCCCAGGGGACGCCGTCGCTCTTCTGAAACCATACAGATACGCCTCCACAACCCCATCATTATTCTTCGGGAGGAAACTAGGCCGAACTTTGCGCGAACATTATTCTACCATGCACCAAAGTTGAATGAGAATTCCGCAGTGACCTTTCAAAAGTAAAGGCCGGCATTTTATTCTGTCCTTTAAACATAATTTTTTTTTTCGTTTTCTTGATTCGCACGGGATCAAAAGATTCTGTGCGCATCATGGACGAACACGGCTCACAAATTAGACGCAAGAAACGAGTCACCGGTTAGGTAGCCCTCGGCAACAACCCACCAGTCGGAAACTCGGAGATAAACAAAAGCATCATGAACGGCGGAAAGGACTCTTTGCAACGCTTTCAAGGCTACGGTGGTTTCTGCAATGCCCTGACGCTCTCTAAGCTACTCGCGCGAGCGCGTGACTTTGTTTGGCGTCCCCTTCACAAGTCTGTGCGTGCGAATGGGTCGCAGGGAGTGCTAAAATGGCAAGTTGTGCCAGTTGGTAACGTTGTACATAATGGCGATGAACGATTCAGTAAACGCGGACGAACAGACACAGCCGCGACAGCTTTGTCCTGTCGTGCCTGTGTCCTTTCATCGTCTGCGTTTACTGAGATGTTCATCTCCACTTCTTACGTCCCAAGATAGGCTTGCGCAGCTGTGGCAAAACTTATACGACGTCACTCGCGTAGCATGAACGCCCGTCAAAGTTGTTTACTCATATTCTTCGGGAGTCGGATGTTTAGGTACCAGAATGGTACCGAACGATTCGAAACGGGGAATTTTGATACGCGGACCTTCCGGTATGCGGACGTTTGGTAGCGTCGGTACGTTGAATTACGATATGCTCTTGGTCCGCGAAGCGTCCATTCTGCTGCCTATCTTCACTCCTGAATTGCCACATAAAGATATTTCTGGGTATACCAACACAGGTCCGTGGCTGCGCTGAAAATGGCGGCCCGATCCGATCAAGAGGCACCTGATAGTTTGCTCTGACCACAAGTTGTCCGTTGTTAACTTTTAAAGGCCGAGCTACAGAATCGTCTTCTGTAGGGAAGAAAACTGGTTCCTAGTTTCTTTCTCTTCATTCCTTCTCGCACTATTATTTTCTTCTCTCGAAAAAAGCGGGTCTCTGAGCTACCCTCCGCAGAAAGGAAGTCCCCCTCTCTCTCAGATGGAAACGAGGACACTCTTCCTGCATGCCTCCTTTCCGTTCAAGAAAGAGGGAGACCCTCCTCCTTCCTGCGGGGAGTAGCTCGGAGACCCGCTTCTGTGGGGAGTGGAGGAGAGAAGAGGGCGAGAGGAAATAGAGAAGAGGAAACTGGAAACCGGTTTTCTTCCCGGCAGAAGACGATGCTGTAGTCTGGCCTATACGATCCTGCCCAATTAAGTCCTGGCCGGAATCCGGTCCAAGCCCGACTGTGGTTCGTAGACGTCGGCTCGAACACGACCTGACCGATAATTGTTCCGGCCCCAACCCGGCTCAAACCCACTTTCTTTTTTTTTCTTTTTTTTTTAACAAGGAGTATGTTTTATGGCTGGCTGGCTCCTGGCATGATTACGTTATTCACGCAGACCTAAGTGACCGTCACTCAAAACTTCACAAACAAAAAAAAAAGAAAGTGAGGAATCGCTTGTTAGAAACACAACCCGGTACCCTTTGGTTGTGGATCTGACGCTGTACGAAAATGAAGCAAGGCTGTGAGCTGATAGCAGGACCGTCCCGTAATTTAGTGTGCGGCTGATGTGATGAGCAACACATAACACAGTTCTGAGCTAGTGTACCACTGCCTCAACCAGGATAGTGCAAAAAGGTTCCTACACTCGTCCACCATTTTTGTTGTTAGTTAGCACACCTGACCTCTAGTTAGGAGACCAGGAGTTCGATTCCAAGCTCCGCCAAAAAATGTTGTCCTTCGACGGCTCCATAGCAATTATTACATTCGATCAACGCTGTTCATTCACCTCCATATTTCCAAATTAAGTTCTACCTTTTATTTAATACCACGATTCACAGCAAACATACTTTCCCTCGACTTAGAATCATTCTCCATTTTAACAAAAAATGTCAACGAATCCATATTTTATTTGCGCTCAGGAACCGTGTCTGTAATGATCCTTTGGATATCGGAAGACCGGCTTAAATTAGGAAACTTCACCACTTATTCAAGTAAATAAAACCAAACACAGTAATTTAATTTACATGTAAGTAAATTTTACGAAAGGGAAAATTTATAAATTCAAAAAACGTTTAGTTAGCATCGGGGGTAATTCCCGCGAATAAAATTTAGAACACGAGTTATTCTGAATAGTCAACAAAACCTAGCTCGCGACAAGCAATCACCCACCGAGCAAAAATGGCAGAAGGTGAAAATTGGTAGACATGTTTCATTATGGTAGCATTTACATCGTGTCATCATCATTATGGTAGCATTTACATCATGTCACCTGCGTCGGCATTTTCTGCGCTATACGTTGTACTCGCGTTCCGCTACCTTTTGAGTGTTCAAAGATGTTATGATGGAGTATACTGCAGTTCCTAAAATCGCATTTCTACCTTTACCAAGGTGGAGTTGTCGGGCGCCGACACCTCAATCCCGGCCTGACACGAGCCCAAAACCGTACAATACCAATAGGCCCGATCCTGACCCGAGCCCAAACAGGGCTCTCGTAAATTGGTCCGAGTCCGGCAGAACACTCGGGTCGAATTCGGGTTTTAGGGCTTATCCTAGCCTGCGTTTCACATATTATGTATGTCAGCGACTATATTTAAAAAGTATTTAACAAAATAAAGAAAATAAATGTTTTAATCTGTTCAGCATTCGAACTGCATTGGTCAAATTCTCTTTACCTGGATACCAGATGCCATTATTTGAAGATACTAATTTCCCGTTGTTTAAACCTCCAAACAAAATTTACCACTACAAATTATACACGAAAAATGCTTACTCATGGCGGCTTAAACGTTTTCCTCTTATTTAGCTACTATAAGTGACTTAAAAAATGACAGCTCATGATATAAATACTGTGTTATGTTTAATAAGCAAGAAATACGTCGACTTCAAGTTCATCTGACGCAGTGCCATTTTGACGTTACGCTATTTTATTATCTGCTATTTTGGCGCGCGCTGTCTGGACGCCGTGTTATTTTGTGGCTTTTTTTTTTTTTTCTTTTTGGACAGTGCTGTCTTGTGTCACGCTCCCAAAACGGACACCTGCCTTGTGAGGGGTTCCTCGTTGGAACCCTTATCAATTCTTTATATTCACCTTCACAACATGGCTTCCGCAAATCAATGTTCTTTGAAACAACTTTTAACTTTCACTAATGATATATATTCCACTCTTGACCGTGGATCCCAGGTTGACTGCGTACTCCTTGACTTTGGCAAGGCGTTCGACAAAGTTTCTCACAAACTTCTTTTTAAACTTAGTAAACTTAAGATAGACCTGAATGTTCTGTCGTGGATTAAATATCGTTCTCAATTTGTTACATACCAATGGAGCTAATACCTGTCTCAGTAGTCCCTTTACTTCTGGTGTTCTTCAAGGGTCCGTTTTAGGGCCCCTTTTATTTCTTAGTTATATTAATGACCTACCCAGCTGTCTATCATCATCCATCAGTTTATTCGCCAACGACTGTGTAATCTGCCGTGAAATTAGTAACGAATCTGATAAAGCACTTCTTCAATGTTACCTATGCGTGGTATCCGACTGGTGTAACGTCTGGCAAATGTCTCTTAATACTAACAGTAGTAAAGCTATGAATGTTTCTCGTGGTTTCTCAATTTTCTCAATTTGTAACAATCCTCTGCAGTTTATGTCTTCTTATAAATATCGTGGTATAAATATTACTTCTAACATGTTATGGAAAGCTCATACAGATCACATTATCGCGAATACAAATTCTATGCTTGGATATTTTAAAAGAAACTTCTCTCGAGCACCTATGTCCTCAAAACTACCTTCATACAAAGCTCTAGTTCGCTCAAAGCTCGAGCATGCCGCAGCAATCTGGGATCCCGGTCAAACAGTGCTCATGAATAACATCGAAGCCATGCAAAATCGCGCAATACATTTCATTTTCTGCACCTACCATCGCACGGCTAGTGTCGCATCAATGAAAACAACTCTATCTCTGCCTCTTCTTTCACTACGTCGAAAAATATCACGCCTATGCCTGTTTTACCACAATAATCATTCTAACGCTTCACTGAAGGACAGGCTATTTCTCAGCCCATTTTTTTTTCGCGCGTCGATTATTACTCTAAAGCCGGCATACCTCACTGCAAAGCCTCAGCATACATTGACTCCTTCATTCCTCGAATGTCCTCTGATTGGGACCACCTTCCCACATCTCTAGTAAACATACCATCCATTGTTTCATTTAGAGCTGCATTACTTAAGCATTTTTGCTAATACATATTGTGCTGAATGTTTCTTCTTTCTCGTAGAAGTGCATTGTTGGCTTTGATTTTTTATTGTTCTTGTTTTGTTGTTCTTCATGTCCACTCCCCTCAGTAATGCCCTCTGGGCCATGAGGGTATCGAAATAAATAAATAAAAACCAGTAAGTTTTCAGGAATGTGGCCGTTTCAGGACTTGGGGTATAATTGGGACGAAGGCGTAAAGCATGTTCATGCTTTCAGTTTTTGTCGTCAAGTAAAACCATTAAGAGAATCAAGGGACGTACCCGTATCAGGCGAACAAGCTCCAGGCCTTGGGTCCGCATCTGTTCTTGCCGTCTCTGCTGCACCAGTTCTTCCAAACTGAGATAGTAGTCCTGCTTCCGCCCCTAAAAGAGAATTTTCGGTTGAGATTAAAGGCGAGAGCATATAAGCGAAAAGCCGTGCGGAAATTGAACGAATTATTGAACCTGAAAAGACAGTTCCACACCATTGTTTTTTCTTAAACAAACCACGAGCAGGTATTTATTGCACAGATCTCTTAATATGCTTTTAACAAAAGGCATGTCTTCTATTTATGCGAAGTAAATACCCTGGTTTCTCGAAGATAGAATTTAACCATTTTTCCATGTTCCAAGTTTTGTGCGATTTTTGGATGATTATTCGTTCACTTGTTCCAGTCTTGACTCGGGTCCCTCAGTCGGTGTGGTTATGTTTGTTCGAAACCAAATTATCGTTTGCTGCAACACAAGAACCGCAGAAAAGGACCCGGCCCCGAATACCCAAATATAAATTACGTCACTACGCCACTTAGGACGAACACACCATTCTTCTAGCGTCACGGAAAGTGAGAGGCATCAATCAACACCTTGTTTTTTTGTTGTTTTTTTTTTAGATTGGCGTTTGTTGCGCTTCGGTGCGTTGGACATTGAGTACTGCTAATTAACGTTGGGTGATTCTTATATTTTGGTACACTATAAAATATGGAGAATTCTTTTTTTTTATCTGCCAGATTTATGTGAAGCGAAACGGGTATAATAATAGTCTTAATTTTTTTTAATTTAATGTGTCCACAAATAGCACAGGGCCTTTTGTGTGGCATACGCAGCAAATGCTGACAAGATAAAAAAAAGTATAAGCACAGAGAAAACATAGCTATGCCAAAAAGAACTCACAAAACAAACATAGAACACATAGCGACATCTGACAAGCAAGATAAGGTAAAAGAAGAAGAGGCACTGAAAATACAAATACAGCAACCCCATAAAGAGAAAAAGAAAACGCTCGTAATTGCAAAACACTGGGATCACGCAAACAATATATCCTCTAGATTACGCCGAAAAGTTGACTTGTCACTGAATATTTCTAGGAGCGAACAATCCAACTTATTAAAATCATGCTGCATTCGTATTAGGGGAGACGTATGAAAAAACGTGGATGGATAGAAAAAGTTGTAATTACGGCTTGAACGTGGTGGGGCGTGAAAACATACAGCGCTTAACAAGACAGGACAATCTACAAGCCCATTGATAAGTTTGTGTAAAAACAAGATATCCCGCCAACGCCGCCTGTCAAACAGAGCAGATAAACCAAGTCTCTTGAGCAGCCGATCATAATTATAATAAAACTTACATAAAAAAAAAAACGATCGAAAACGATGCGAATAAAACGCTTCTGTACACGCTCGATAGAGCAAGATGCTGTATCATTTATACAATTCCACACTATAGATGCAAACTCAAGAACTGTATGTAAACAGGACTGTGTGTAAACAGGACTGTTTGCTTATCGGACTATAGCTTTGAGCCCTGTACCGCGGCCACGTTTACATTGGTTTTTCTCGCGTAATATGAGTGATTTGAGAGCATTACATTTTGTAAACGATGGACCCACAGATATACTCCGAATTTCAGCCATATTTGGCTTTCTCGGTTTATAAATTTGGCTCATTTAAAGAAAACAAACTTTTCATAAGATTTTATGCGATTCTGCTGGTACGTTCAAAAAAACGAAAATGAAACTCTTTGCTGACATCTTTCTCGCCTGTCAGTTCAAGGGTAGGTATGTGCCAGGTGCATGTTGATTCTTCTCCAGGTCACGAAACTGAAGTATCCAGCGTTAACAAAAAACTTGTTCTATAACACATCTGCACATGAAATGGCAAACTTGACTAAAGAAGTTGGGATGTAATTGGGCTGGGCGTCGATTAAAACTTTTAACCCGATTAATCGCCACCCTTTAATCGAATAAGTAATCGATTTATCGGTCTCGTTCGTTTCGATTCATAATATATATAAAAAACTTCTTTTTTTTATTTTGCTGAATATGTGACAAATGGTGCAATATACAAAATGTCCCCCCAAAAATTACGTTTCTTTTTGTTTTTTACCGCCAAAATAAATTATCGATTAGCAAACGCTCATTCGCCGCCCAAATGTGGCGCTAGAGGTCTGACCCGGATGCCGAGGTTTCAGCACCAACCGTTATCTTATTCAAAAGTTATAAGCGATTTTCTGAAATTTTCAATGGGGAAATGGCGGCCTCTTATGGACCAACTCGTGTTTACAAACAAGCCCACGCTTGCCCCCACTAGCTGTGGGCAATGCGCATGCGCAAAAACTAAATTCGGGATAAGTGAAGTGTCCGCGCATGCACTCTGACGACAGCAGCACCACCCCAATGATGTGACGTCGGAGATTTCAGTTGGTGGATAACACAGCTCTATGGCGCCAGTTACCCAAAACAGGCGAAAATGGGCCCTATTTTCTCAGTAAAAATTACAGAAAATCACAAATTTTTAATAATATCACGGTTAATGCTGAAAGTTTGACATCTGGTTCGAGCCTCTAACGCTACATTTGAACGGGGAATGAGCGTTCGACGATGCATAGTTTACATTTTTTCTTAAAAATTGAAAGGAGGGGGGGGGGGGGGGGGGGGGGGATTTGTACAATTTTTATTTCGAATCGACCTCGATGTGTAGCTGAGAAAAAGCTCAAAGACTCTCACACTCACATATTATTACTTCCGCTGCAGGAGGCAGAGGTTTGTTGATATTCTCCGGCAATAGCGACCTCCCTTGATTGTTCACAATAATCTATGCTGCGCTAAACGGACACTCGCACGGCATTGAAGTGGCCGGGAGACGTATAACCTTCTGAACTTGTCTGGAGTCCCAAATATCGCCCCTACAGTTTACTTGCGACTAAAAGTTCGTTTGAAGCTTGACCTTCATACAGGTGTTCTCGTCCACGTCTGCGTGGTGAAAGCGTTTCATTTTTACTTTCTTCTAGATGCGTCAACATTTTTTGCCGATTCAAGCATTATTTATTGATCGGTATGTAAATTGATCACTTGCCCAGCCCTATTTTCACTGTTTATTTGAAAGAGGGATAAAACTAATTAAAATTCCAGTAAACGTGATTTGGAACCAAGTGCAATATCAAGTTTCGTGCTCGGTCATTTAAAAAAAAATATATATATATTAATCTTTGCTAATCGATGCGAGCAGGCCTTTTCAACATAAAACATGGCAGCAGTATCAGTTATATATATATATAGGTGAAGTAAGGTAAATATAAAAACAGTGTACCAGGAAAAGTTAATAAGTCGAGATGCGTACTGTCGGGGTTACTAATTCGAAGTTTATTTCGACGTTTCGAGCGGGGACCGCTCTGATGAAGAGCGGTCCCCGCTCGAAACGTCGTAATAAACTTCGAATTAGTAACTCCGACAGTACGCATCTTTGACTTATATATATATATATATAACGGGCATGGTGGCGGGAGGCCGAATATATATATATATTCTTTTTTTATTTAGCAATGCACGTAACGGCCCATTGTTAGTGAAAAAAGCGAGAACTTCCTCCTCCCCCCCTCTGTTTTTTTTTTTTTTTTTTTTTTTGTAAATTTTTTTTTTTTTCAGATTTGGAAGGCTGTTGGTCGCGACTGTGGTGGAAAGTGCCGATTTGGGTACTAACCAAAAGGGAGAAATTTGGTGCCCGCCGATACCGTTTTGTTTGTTGTTTTTTTTTGTTTTTTTTTTTAATTTAAAATGCGAAAAAGCGTTCATGCCGTGTTCGCGCAGTGTAGTTCGCTGCAGAATACGTAGCGTGGTATTAATTGAATTCGAAGCCATACAATCCGCGAACCACAAACACACACTCCAAGGATTAACATTCATGATTCTGAGCAGGTTTACAGAGAGCTAGAAATAAATGTTCTACAGGGAAAATATATTTTTGCTTTGTTTTTGAAAAAAGTAATCGAAACTCAGTGACACTCGGTAGGTTTCTACTAAACGTCCCAATACTTATCTAGGGGAAGAGCCAAGCGAACGCTTCGAAAGAATTTGCAGTTTTCAATTTTTACATCGTTCATCTTACCAAAAGGATTAAAGAAATCGCCTCATTCTGTTAAAATATCGCCATTCCGTTGCGTAGTAGCAAAGAAAATATCGAGAATATTTCGCGATTTCCAGCCGCGGTGTGGAGGCCATGGGAACTGAGGCGTGACGCACAGTGGGTATAATATAATAAGTTGGCGAGATTTGCCATTATGTGCTCAATTTAATGCTATATATAATGAATAGTGTGATTTTAACGTAAGTAAATGAGTCGAAAACCTCATATCAACGACAAAATTTTACTGAATTAAGTTTTACTGGCGCCATTTGCCCGAGGTGAAAAAAAAACTATTCCTTCCTTGAGTTTCACCCCGTTGTGCTAATACGTTAGTCGAACTGCCTTACGGAGAAGCAATATCTTTACTTCTCCATAAGCTAACCCCCCCCCCCCCCTTTTTCCCCTCTCCACATCGCTGAGACCAACCTGCCAAGTCGCCATGTGAATCGCAAGCAGACGCTGTGAGTGCTGGAGGCTCTGAAAGAGGACTCAACCGGATCCTCCCTATCCCCATTGCACGTCACTGCGCACGTGACTCGAAAGAAGGTGTAAGAGTTGAGAGTGGTTTGCAGGCGCCCATAACGATCAGTGGACCTTTTGCAGAGATCATTGGGCACATGCGCCAAGAATGAGAAAGGGGAGCAAAGGGAAAGGCGCCGTTTTTGGGTGCTATCTCGTCCGCTCAGTCGCTCAGACAGTGCTGGTTCGGCTTGACTCGCTCCGCTATTCTCGCGCCTTGACTTCATAGCCGTCATGCCTCACCACCGCGCAGTTGTTTAGTCGTACAATTAACAGCATAAATAGTTCAAATGCAAGATTTTATAGAGTTCCAAAAGCTTTTTGAAGGTGGTGCACGAAAGGACCCGATGTCAAATACCCCGCCCTTGTTGCCCTGCTTTCAAAAGCCCTCGTAATAGGAGCCTATGATGCGAATCCCCCGTGTGGGCCGGGTTCTCAGCGTGACGGCGAGAAATTCTGCTTAGC